TGGAAATTCCTCAGGGAGGGGGTGGTGAGCATCAGATCACATGTTCTCCAGGTGAATTCAGATAAGATGACCTTCAAGGCCAGCCAAGGGAGCCAAATTCAGATAAACACAGTTGTTTTGGGGACAGGCAGAACTTAATGACATCTACCTTGAGTCTGTGTTGGTCCACTCGGTTCTGAAATGTCCAAATTAACATGGCCACACCGATGGAACGTGACTGAGTAAAATCCCCGAGATCTGATCCATTCAGCCCAAAGCATTTGAGTCTGGGTACTCGAGACACGAACCAAGCCATCATAAAGGCAAGCAGCGTGATCGGGTCCAAATTTGCTGCTGACGACTTCCTTGATTGTAGATAAAACCAGCACCAGCTGAATCCAAAAAGCAGGAACCAGTTATCGTGAATCCAAGTAAATATGCGTCCTTAAAATCCACAGATGGCAGCAGAGATAGACACATCATGAAGTCTTCCAGTCGATAAGATATCCAGCTGCGTGCGTGCCAACAGGGCAAATCGACTCGCCTAAAGCCTGTCTTCTCTTCAAGAAATGTTGTAAATTAGGGACCAACTGATCAAATCAAGTCCATAATTATGGTTCGGAAGAAATGTAGAGAGGCTCAGAAGCAGTTTCACAGACAGACAGAGCAGCAAAGCGGAGAGGGAGGGAGGGAAGCGTCCGATCTCGTGGGGAGCGAGTGGTGAGGTGAAGTGTGTATATATATATATATATATATATATATATATATATATATATATATATACTTTTATTATTATTATTGTTATTTAATCTGTCCTGAGGACCTGATTTAACTTTGATAGATTTTTCTATCTGGATTATTTAAAAGCAGCTTGAAGCCTGAATGCTTCAACACTTTGAGCAAAGTTTCCAAAGTTTTCAACTAATGAACCACAAAGCCTTTGCAGGCAGACGTATTTCAGCTTCATTAAAATAAATAAAAATAACAACTATAGCTATAACAACAGCTAACAATTAGACAATAAATACATTTTTAATTTTCTATGAATTATCTCAAAAGCCCTCAGTTGGTGTTTTACTCCAGTTACAGATTACTTTAATTGGTCGACCCAGAAATGGTGCAAACATTTTCTGCTGCTCGACAGGAAGTAAGGATCGAAACACGATAAATGTTTTGACCAGTTACCCAGTCAGTGCTGCAAACTGGTGCGAAGCCTCTAAAACTGGACCACGTCATTAAAACAGGACTGAATGGGATTTAAATGAGACGTGGGACTACATGAAGCTGCAGTTTACGATCAGCTCCTGCTCTGTAGACACGGCAGGAAGAGAAATGAACAGATGTGTAGCGCCGAATCATTTTACTGCAACCTTCCTGAGAACAGCTGCAGCTTTTCTTTCTGCTTTGTGTCGTTTGTTCTGCAGGAAGCAGCGAAGATGGAGACAAAGAGTAGGACGCTGTGGGTTTGACCAGGACCGTCTTCGCATGACTCCATGTTTCTGTCTTACCGTCAGGTTCTTAAAACACAAGACAGTGCCTCTTCCCGCCTGCAGACACTTTTACAAAACCCTGTCGGACCTCGGCGTCGGACCAGTCGTAGTTTAGAAAAGAGAACCATGAAGATTTCTAGAATATGAACCTTCACGGCGTGAATGATTCATACATGAGAATAAAATTGTGTATTTTTTGGATCTAAGAGACACAGTGGAAGGAAAGGCTCCTAAAATAACTTCATATCTGCCTTTTTCATTTTTATTTTTCACTCCTAACGATGTGGAACAGACTGTGCCGAGTTTTCAACACACGGCCGACCCCTGGGACACGACGGCACCGCTCCAGTCTTTGTACTTTCCAGGAAACGAGTTCCTTGCATTCATAAATACCACGAGGCATTACGAGTAAAATAATAATATTTGATCCTTTCAGAGACTAAAAGACGTTCTTGTGTGCAGCGGGACTGTTGGCATCCATCTGGATGGGAGCTGGTCTTTGTTCAAGACTCGTTTAAACAACAACCCGATTATTTCACTTGTTCTTTGCCGCATCAGAACCACGAATGGACCGTTTTACAAAAATATCACCACGGTTACAACCGGTCCGTCTTTACTGCATATCACACCAAAACAAGACGAAGGTTAAAACCACGTTCAGGTCTCACCTGTGGGTTCGTTTCTTCAGCACCGGGCAACAAGAGGCTGACGAGCACTTCTGCAGGAGCTGTAAAATAAGTAACGTGAGATCATTTTCTGCCTCGGCTCACAAGCACGTGTTATAAAAACGGGTTTGGGTAATCTGGACTTCATCACATTGATGCAAAGATCCTGTGAAGATCGCTGATCAACAAGAGCCGCCGTCACAACGTGGTGAAATATAAAAATTAAAACCTGACGTGTGGTTTGGACAAACTGTTCAGTTCAGCCCACTACCAAGAACTGGACCTGATGGTTGTAAATATGGTGGAACGAGGAGCTCGCTGCCGTGTGGTCAGTCTGAAGCAGGGTTAGGTTTCACATGAGCAGCGAACGTTGCTCAGAGAAGCAATAAATCTCAAGCTGGCCTTTAAAACCTTCAGAAGCTCCAGAGGACGGTCCAACGCTGAAGCTTGCTTTCATCACTCATCTCCCACTGGTTGGCCTTCAAGCTCCCACTACACAATATTAGCCCGTCGTCACTTGGAGCTGTGCGTTGTGGGGTTCTGGTTCCTTTTTAAAGCAGAAAGACTTGTAGGATCAGCTGATCGTCTTTGTGCCACACGTTTGAAGAACGCCACAGGAAGCAGCGCTGACGGCCGAGCAGCTCCTCTTTTATCCATCCGATGGAAGTTTGAACAGCTCGGGTGCAGAAAGCGCTCGGTTTGCTTGACCAACCACATCTTCCCTTCATTCAGAGTTCCTATGGAGCGAACAGATCTGCTCTGAACCAGGAGGTCCAGAAGAACCTGATGAAGACAGCAAACGACGAGGCTACTTCCAGAAATGATGATCAGGACTGTAAAGAGGTCGTTTGCTGTCAAAGCACCTTCAAATCTTTCAAGTGTTTCAAAAGGATCAGGGTCCATTCCTGAACATCTCTTGGGTCTCTTTCTGTGCAGCAGAGTTATTCTAAATGAAGAAACCTGGAGGAGTCTGGTCTGACGTGAGTCCTCTGCTCCACCAGACTCATCACTACGGTTATCGTTCTTGGTTCTTTAAAAAAATAAAAGATCTTCGTAAGGTCCTGTATTTACAAACTGCTGCATCTGAGTCGCTTTGTTCCACCTGTGGGATCAAAACTGCATCTGGTCTCGTCTTCATGCTTCTGTTTGAAAGAGGAATCAAAGAGTCGGCTCCGTCTTAACGACAATCTTCATAAATGTGGTTTTGGATGCAGAGCAGCAGCACAGCAGAGAGGGACTGGGAGGACGATGAACCGTTCTGCGTTAAACACGCAGTAAATCTCAGTTTTTGACTTCCTGTTTGTAAGAGATGGACGTTCGACTGCTGATCCTGAATATCGTGACTGTCGGGAGACATGTTTGTAATTTGGATCATTTCTGAAAGGAGCTCAGCTTCTACGAACTTCAGCCATAGTTTGTGTGTTCACCTTGATCAGCTGATCAAACTGTGGCTCCGTTTCTGTGAAGATCAAAGACGAGGCCCAGGAGCCGTGGGAACACACGATCCATGTCGTGTCTTCTAAGTGTCCAGGTTAGTGTAGAAACATGTAGTGAACTCAAGAAGTATTTGTACCTGTGAGGAGGAGGAGGAGGAGCTGGAGGAGGAGGAGCTGGAGGAGGAGGAGCTGGAGGATGAGGAGCTGGAATCTGTTCATTGTTGCCAAAGAGCTGAGGTGTTTCAGGTCCACGTTCAGGTCATAGGCGTAGCCAGGATTTTATGAGGGGCGGTTCGTTTGAAGAAAAAGTGGACCTGTAGGACTACTCTGATTGGTTCATTGGCGGTGGTACACATAACTTCAAATGTGTAAACAAGCTAATTAGCTAGCTAGTTAAAACACTGCTGTGTGAGGTAAATCTGTGTTACCAAATAGGCGGTTGTGAGTGGAGAAAGAGCAACACACTGAGAGGGGAATAGCGTGTGTGTGTCCAGTCTTCTATTCAGAACTCATCCCAGACACGAACGAACACTTCGGTACTCCCGAGTCCCGCCCGAACATACACAAAAAAAAAAAAAAAACACCGAAGAAGAATGAAAGACGTCATCCTCTTAAAGGCACAGTACCACTCCTTAACTCTAACAACATAAATGCAAACTAAGCCCGCAAATAATAACATTACTTCAATTGCAAAAATAACTCATCTTTTTACTTTGCTTTGTTAGACATTGTTTTTTATGAATGAAATTAATGAATTGAAAAATACAATACAATCCACATCTACACATAAAAAAATGACACTATAGAGTAAGATTAAAATTTCTCAAGACAAATGTAGTTTTGCAAAACCTTTTTTTTTTTACAATGCATAAGACAGTTTTGTCCAACATCTTATATCTCTGGATAGACAAGTGAGTCCAGCTCCATCCTCCTCGAGTGTTTGTTTGCAAACACATCAACAACTCTGTCAAGGTCAATGTGTTCTATATCTCGCGGGAGTTGTAGGTGGGACTTCATTGGCAAAGTGGGCGGTTCGTTCGAACCCCCCGAACCCCCCCTGGCTACGCGCATGCAGGTGCAGACGTTTTCTCCAAAATGGAGACCAAGAAGAAACGAGCCAGCAGCTCTGGTCTTGAGCTGAATGTGTGAATGTGCAGAAGGTCTGGGCTGCTGTCTGACCCCCCCCCCCCCCCACCCCCAACCCCGGCTCGGTCTCATCATTGCTTTCTGTTCTTTCAGCATAAATAAACTGGTTTACACGACTGGAAGCGTTCTTCATGTTTTCAGAAGTTCTCAGCTTCTAAAAATAAACTTAAGTTTTTAGAATTTTACAGATTCTGTGAGAATAAAATGCGTTGTGCAGATTAATCATTAAAGATTAAACCAACGTGCAGATTAATCATTAAAGATTAAACTAACGTGCAGATTAATCATTAAAGATTAAACCAACGTGCAGATTAATC